TAAAAAATGGTCTGCTTATGAAAGACTTCTTCATATATGGAACAGTATCCAACGAAGTGATTATGTACCAAATTATCTACACCAGGCCATCGACACGGCGGCGTTGTTATCCTAACGTCGTCGGTAGTAGTTGAAGCGCGTGTTCTCCTAGTAAGAGCACTGAAAATGAGTAAAGTGTTAGAGTAGAGTAAGTGGACGGACCTAAAATGACCCGTAAACAATGAAATGTTGATTAGTTGCTCTTCATACACATAAGTTTCGTATTTAGCATCTAAAATTATACTAAAAATTGAGATTTACTCAAAAATTGCGGTAAACCTCAATTTTTTTTCCAAACTCAGTTTTTCTCCCCTGTCACGTGAAAAAATACTGATTAGACCTATGCTTACCCAAGTTTGGCATCAGACCCAGCCATTGCAGGGAATTGGTCCAGATCGCATAACGACTGATACAAGCATGAAGATAAACCCTGACTGAGGTTATACAACATGTATGCCTAAGATAAAGAGAATATTCTAACTGAAAAAAAAGATCTTGGAAAATCCCACCTTCTGGACATGTTTGTCAACATCGGGAACACTTGAGAGATCCGCAATGGTCGAAAGAAGATCATAACATTGATTCTCAATGAAAGACATTGGTGAAGAGACAAACATTTTTGCCGAAGATACTGATGCAACCAAAAGAGGGAAAGAATTCGCATCCAAAACTGGCTCTGTAAAATGCATTACATTATGCAACACAAAAGTTCCTAAAAAGAGTAAACTTGAGCAAAATACCGCTGAGATGTGAGACACCCGTGTCCTTTTGCACTTCCAGTAAGAGAAGAAGGAGTTCCATCAAAGCAGAAGTAAGGCGATGATTTTGGGCAGAATGCAGAGCGCAGAAGGAAGTGAAAGATCTAGAAAGCAGAAAGTTGAGAACAAAACTTCCTGTTTTCCAAGCAAAATTTCTCCTGTACTAAGTATGATATCATAAAACCCTCAACAGATGCTTTAAAATTTTTTGGGATAATTTAAGCAAATACTGAGAAAACATCAACCGGGCCTACCTAAGCAACTTCTGATTCGCAATCAACCACTTCCGCCGTCTTGTTGCAAACTTTAGCTTCATCATTATGTCAGCACGGTCATTTCGGATGGCTTCGTGAAGAGCGCTGCTTCCTCTGCAAGGAAAGATGTCTAGACATATGTAAAAGTGCAAACATAGTTTCAAATGATAGTAGACCCACTCTCCACCAGAGTCTACTTCGAGTTCATCATCGGTATCATCGTTGTAATTATCCGAAGTGGAACGATAATCGCACAGGTCTTTCAAAACCTCCACCTCTTTTTCCAACCAGATTAACAACTGTAACGAATTATTAGGATAAGATTCACACAAAAACGACGAGTGTCTAAAAACATTGTGCGCTCAAAAAAAAAACTTTTGGGTAAACTCTTGTTTGTACCTGAAAACGTAGCTGTCCTCCGTCAACCTCAAATCCGCTTGCTAAGGTGGACAATTCCTCAGTCAAAATTCTCAGCGATGCCACAAACTTCAAATGTTGGGCAATGACGTCGGGCGTCCCACTATTTTCCTTAAATTATATCTTGGCTTAAGCTCTTTCTCTTCTCATGCTAAATCTAAGGGGATAACCTCTGATGTAGGGCTGCGTTCAGTTACAATAGCGGGTACCCCAGCAGGAATCCCATTAGAGGTTTTGTTCTCGCTGGCAATTTTCTCACCATACTCGTCATATTCTTCAACGTCATCGCTCCAATCCAAAGACAGCTCATCCTTCTGCGAAAAGACAGACAACTACCGAGATCATTCAATGCATTGCAGTGGTGAAAACGAAATTAAAACAGAATTAGACGTAACAGAAGAGTGTGAAATGCGGAGTAAAACTTACATCCATAACATTCGTAGGCTTGCTCCAATCAAGATCATTAACCGAATCTTGAGCGTTGCTGAGTAATGTCTAGAAATATCGTAAATACTTGAGCACCACTGACTACTGTAGGATGGATGACATCCTGCCTTCTCTAAACTGTTGCGCTAGCAAGAAACCATAACGATTGCTTACCTTTCCGGCTAGCAACGTTCTAAGGGAACCATCTTTGACCATACTAATGTTCCTCGGTAGGCGACTCAGCACATCCAAGGCGAGCATAGGGCAACCATGAGCCATATGTTCAGCAGCAGTTCGGAAGTATAACCTAGAACAAGTTGAATCAGGAAGCAGCATAAGTTCGGATCTTTTAATGAATACATTAATCAGGGGAAAGAACAGTAATTTTTGCAATCAAATAAAGACACATGGCCATACATAAATAAATAAATAAATAAATATATATATAATATGTAGAAAGGAACTCCGTTAAACAAAACAGAAACTCCTTCGATAATGTATGATTTGAATTCAAGTAAGAATCCGCAATAATCACTCATATCATGTAACAATAGAAAG